TCCCAGCACCATTTATTGAAGAGACCATCTTTACTCCATTGTGTGTTTCTGGCTCCTTTGTCGAAAATTACCTGCCCATGTACATGTGGTTTTATACCTGGCCTCTCTATTCTGTCCCACTGATCCTCGTGTCTGTTTCTGTGCTGATACCATGCTGTTTTGATTACCGTAGCTCTGTAGTGTAATTTGAAGTCAGGGAGTATGATTCTTCTAGCTTCCTTCTTTTTTCTCAGGGTTGCTTTGGCTATTTGGGGTCTTTTGTGGTTCCACACAAATCTGATGACTTCTAGTTCTATTTCTTTAAAAAGTGACATTAGCATTTGATGGGGATGCGTTAAATCTGTGTATTGCTTTGGGTAATATGGTCATTTTAGCCATGTTGATTCTTCCAATCCATGAGTACGGGATATTTTCCCATTTTGCTGTGTCTGTTTCAATTTCTTTCAATAATGCTTTGTGATTTTCAGCATATAGCTCTTTCACATTCTTCGCTAAGTTTATTCCTAGGTAATTTTTGTTGTTGTTGCAATTGGAAAAGGAATTATTTTTTTCACTTATTTTTCTGAAGTTTTGTTGTTAGTATACAGGAAGGCANACCATATTGACTCTTCCAATCCATGAATACGGGATATTTTCCCATTTTGCTATATCTGTTTCAATCTCTTTCAATAATGCTTTGTGATTTTCAGCATATAGCTCTTTCATGTTCTTTGCTAAGTTTATTCCTAGGTAAGTTTTGTTGTTGTTGCAATTGGGAAAGGAATTGTTTTTTTCACTTATTTTTCTGAAGTTTTGTTGTTAGTATACAGGAAGGCAATGGGTTTTTGTATATTGATTTTGTATCCTGCAACTTAACTGTATTTGTTTATTGTTTCTAAAGCTTTTTGGTGGAGTCGAGTCTTTAGGGTTTTCCATATANGTTCTTCCTTCCCTATTGGGTACCTTTTATTTCTTTCTCTTGCCTGATTGCTCTGGCTGGGACTTCCAGAACTANTATTGATTTTGTATCCTGCAACTTAACTGTATTTGTTTATTGTTTCTAAAGCTTTTTGGTGGAGTCGAGTCTTTAGGGTTTTCCATATACAGAATCATGTCATCTGCAAAAAGTGANCAACTTCACTGTATTTGTTTATTGTTTCTAAAGCCTTTTGGTGGAGTCTTTAGGGTTTTCCATATACAGAATCATGTCATCTGCAAAAAGTGACAGTTTTAGTTCTTCCTTCCCTATTGGGTACCTTTTATTTCTTTCTCTTGCCTGATTGCTCTGGCTGGGACTTCCAGAACTATGTTGGATAAGTGGCGGGGTGGGCATCCTTGTCTTGTTCCTGATCTTAGAGGAAAAGCTTTCAGTTTTTCACCATTGAGTATGATATTGGCTGAGGGTTCATCATATATGGCCTTTACTTTGTTAAGATACTTTCCTTCTATTCCTATTTTATTGAATATGTTCATCATAAATGGATGTTGTATCTTATCAAATGCTTTTTCTGCATCTATTGATAAGATCATAGGATTTTTACCCTTTCTTTTGTTAATGTACACCCTGCATTTTACAGACAAGGTTCCTGATGCTAGTCTGGGTGCAGAACGAAGGAGCCAGCAGGGCTGCCTCTGCATCAGCCAGTGGCCAGAAACCAAGATGACTGTCCTCACGTGGCAGAGACCTGAGCAGGCTCCATCTCAGTTCCTCTGGGCCCAGGCAACTGCTGAGCCTTGAGACTGGAACAGCCTCGCTCAGCCAGCCACTCTTTGCTCAACCTTGGTGGTCTCGGAGACTGGCTTTGGCACCCATTTCTGGTCCAAGCTGTTCGCATGTTTTTGCAGCTTGCTCTGGGTGTGGGGACAGGCCCGCAGGGAAGGGAGGTGAGTCCCAAGCTGGGCCTGCTAGGGAGCTCATTACAATCTCAGGGCTTAGGTGTGCAAGCACTTATGTCATCTCAGTCTGGGAAAGTTATGTAAGCTGGAGCATGGGTGGCTCCTTGGGGAGCAGGGGATGCTGGGTAGAGGGAAAGTGACACCTGGAGGCCCAGGGGCACCCTGGGGCTGTACCCAGGACAGAGGAGCCAGCCCCAACAGTGAGACCAGGTCATGTGAAGCTGCGTTGGTGGGAAGGCAGAGGAGAAGGCCTCCCTGCTAGCTGTCATGGCCACAGCCCCATGCATGTTGCCTCCAGCCCAATCTCTCTGGGCCCCGTTCAGCCCAGGCCTACCTCAGGTATTTCAAGAGTAACAAGTCACAGCCTGAGCCCATTTGTGGCCCACATCACGCCTCCCCAGATCTCCCCGCACCAGCAGCAATAGTAGGAGGCTCTTAGGGCCAAAGCCAGCCTCCCTGTACTGCCACCACCCTTGGCGCTCCCACTCTGGGGGGCTCTCCTTGCAGTCCCTCCAGCCCTTCCAAGCTCCAGGCCTTTTACCTACCGTCCGGCTGCCTTCTTGTGATCAGATGGCAGCCACTCCCTCTCTTTCTGAGAAGCTGGCAACCCCTCCACCACTGCTCTCCTCCACAGCCCCGTCAGGAGCTGTGTCCCATACTTTTTGGTTGGTTTGCTGGCTGTAACACCCAGTCTGTTCTGTCACCATGGTGTCCCAGCACCCATACGATCCTGGTATACAGCACGCGCCCTCTGAGTGCTGATCTAATGACTGTAGCAAAGCTATGGGGGTGGGAGGGAGTGGAGAGAACTCAGACTTCATTGAAAACCACTCTGCCAACCCAGGAGTGAACCCAGAAAACGTGCCTCAGTTTCACCATGTGTAGTGAGGGAAAACCACTCTTTCCATGGAAACAGTCTCCTTGCCCCACCCCAACTTCTGAACACAGAAGCTCTGGGACAAGGCAGTCTTGGGTTGTCATGTGGCGGCCCAAGTGATTTTCCATTGAGACTTGTAAGGGTGGGTCTTGCCCCAGAGCAAAGGAGCCAAAAGAGGAAATTTCCATCATGAGGCTGAGTGGAGAGCCCAACCCTGAGCCCCAATTTTTCTCCTAGGATGGTGGCCACGCCTAGGCCCTATGCCAACCTCCTCCTGGGTCTCCAGAGCCCACAAGTCTGGCTGTGCAGGAAGATTGTGCTGGAGGCTTGGGGGCACCGAAGGAACCTAGATGCCTTGTTTCAAGGCAGGGTCCCCTCAGCCTGCCTTGTCCTCAGAAACCCCGAGGTACACATATGGTGGGCAGAACCTACAAAAAGGCAGGCCCTCCCACTGGCCTGAGCCCTCTGCTTCCCTGCAGCCTCAAGAGTACTGTGCTCCCTGATAGAATGGCCACCACAGCACTGCCATAGGCCAAGGGGACTGACAGCAGGCCAGTCATGCAGGAGGGAGGGACAGTGGTCCAACAAGGCCAGAGAGGTAGCTGCTGGGAATAGGAAGCACCTCTGTCCTTTCAAGGGGTGTTTAGGAACATCCCGGACCCAGCTACCAGGCTAGGCTTTGAGAAGGATGGAGATTGAGGGGAGGGCAGTTGGGAGGCTGGGCATTTGGTGCCCAGGACTGAGGCACAGGTCCAGGTCCAACTGGGAAGGCTCCTAGCCATCACGACTCCCCTTTCCTAGCATCTGAGCTGCGGGAGCCAGGCAAGCAGGAGATATGCCCCGCTCACCTTGCCTGGAAGCTTGTCACCCAGGGGAGGATGTTTGGGAGAGAGGGGCAGGAGAAGGAAAGGACTTGGGCCTGTGGGAGGGGCAGAGGGGCCAGGACATGGGTCTTCTGGTTGGGAGCAGGGACACCCGAGGGAGCCATAGGGCCAGGACCTGGGTAGGCTCCTAAAGAAACGCCCTGAGCAGAGGCATGGGGACAAAACTTCTGGAGAGTTGAGGGCCTCTGCCCTGGGAGAAGTCTCAGAGCCCTTGGCACCTGGCTGTGCCCCAATGTGCCCCCATGCTGGGGGACACCGAGGTTCAGAGAGCTCCCCAGAGAGCCAATGTGAGCCCCAACCTGGGATTTACTGAAAGTGTGTTTGCCACCCGGCCACGGGGTCACCATAGGCACTGGCTTCTCAGATGACAAGAAATGTGTGCTTCCTCCTCACCTGAGCTTGCGCACGGAGAACCGTTCCCACCCTTCTGTGCAGAGCCCCACATGCCTCTGAGGTATAGGGGACTCCCCCTCAAGACCAAGGAGAAGAAACGCCCCCACAAACTCAGCATCTCAGAGAAAGAGGACAGCAGGGTCGGCAACTTTATTTACCTCTCATGAGACCTTGGGGGTGGCTGGCAGTGGTGCCCCTGGGGGTGGAGGGCGGCCCCCATTCCCAGCAAGAATGGGACCTAGCCCAGGCCCACAGTGGGCAGCCAGGGGATCATGGGACAGTCTTGCCTTCATGCGGCAAGGCTGGCGGGACTGTGGAGCCCCTGAGGTAGAGCCGGGGGGACGAATCCCCAGCTGGCTCTCCTCGGGGCGCCTGCCGCCAAGGAGGATCCCGGTGGGTCTGTGAGGAACGGATGCACCAGCTGGGATGTGAGTGAATGAGGGCATATGTGGATGGGCCGATGAATGGGGGTGAGTGAACACAGGAGTGAAAAGAAAGCCCAAGAGACCCAGCACCCAAACCTCTGATCTACCTTCCCCCTGCCCAGGCAGCTCTGGATGCAGGAGGGGCAGGAGGGCCCGGCGGGCATGGAGCACAGGGGGCTCGTTTACGGCAGGGCCCGAGAGCAAGGAACCCAGGTAGCAGCCCCTGTGTTGGGGTGGAGGATGAGGAGGAGAACAGAGGTGCTCTTATCACTCTTGGAAGGCTGAGGGTCCCCTCAAGTTGGGGGCCTTGGGGAGGCTTGCCCCCTGCATTTCCCACATTGGTGGGTTCCCTGGGACAAGAGAGAGCATCCCTCCCTGGAGTAGGAGCCTAGAGAAGCAGGGAGGAGTGACAAGGTAAGATGAGGGTTCTTCCTGCCACGGCGGGGTGTGCAGGGAGCCGGGCAGACTGGACACAGGCCACATGCAGCCTGAGTCTAGTCTGAGAGGGGACACAGGAACCCCAGGGCTGGCCTGTGGGTACTGGGCTCACCAGGCTGCCCAGAGCAGCACCCACAGCAGGCTTGCAGAGGTGCTGACCCACAGGGCCCCACGACCACCCACCAGACCCAACGCCCCACTGCGGTTGCACTGGTTGCCCTGGCAGCAGGAGACAGAGAGGGCGCGGCCGTCTGAGGACACGGTGCTGTTGGGGCAGGTGGGGGCGCAGGACTTCATCACCAGGATGCCGCCCGGGTTGGCTGTGGAGACAGGGGCGAAGGCCCATGGGTGGCATGCTCTATGCACCACCCACCCAGCCAGCCAGCCCTGAAGCCCGTCAACATGGCAGGCACAGCCTGCTGCTGGGGCTCCTAGGAGCTTGATGTAGGTTCCCAAAGAGCCTGCCACTGTGTGCAGGAGGATCCTTCCTGGCACCTTTGGGCCTGGGAGTCCAGTTTCCCCCTCAGACCAAGCTCTTCTGTGACATTGCGGGCCAGGGAGTTGCTTAGGGACTCCCACGCCTAGACCCTCTGCCTCTTTCCCTCTGGGAGCGCCTCTATGCTCTGGCAGTCAGGGTCTAGAGGAAAGGTCAGGCCCTGTGCTCAACCTCTGTCCCTTTCTGGGACTGGAAAGCCCTAGGAAACAGTGGGAAGGGGAATATGACACGGCAGCCTGCACATAGCTCTTGGAGTCGACAAGGGAAACAGAGGCTGGCTGGGGGGGGCTGCTCCAGGAGCAGAGCCCCTGGGGAGTGAGCCCAGGCCTCAGCCGCTGCCTTCGTCTGCTCTGGAACTGCAGGCTGTGCAACAGGGACAGCTGGAAGGGAGGGGCTCTAAGACCACAGGCCAGGCGGTGCTGGGGAGATGAGAGCTGCTCCCCCAGCCTGTATTAGTCAGAAGGTGCTGAAGCTGTGGCCCTGACACAGGGGATTGTCACTGGCAGTGGATCCAGAAACGAGGGGCAGGGTGGGGGGCTCTATGTAGAGGTGCCTGATCTCTCTGTCCCTCTATTTCCTTCCTGGAAAATGCGGATAAGAGCGCCAACCTCTGCGGTTGTTTGGGGTGAGTGAGAGCCACACTGAGGACATATATGTTTCTAGTTGTGGGTGGTGCTGAGAGCAGCAGTGCCCAGAAGGACACAGCCATTCCGGCTGTGGCAGAACAGAAGGACAGAGCCAGCAGCTCCCCACAGATCAGAAGCCGGGGCCCACCAGAGGGGCCAGGGCAGGTGGCAGTCCCCACTCCCTCAGGAATCCATCTCATGGGACACAACCTGGGACAGCACCAGGCAAAACACCAGACAGTGACATATCTCCCCAGTCACCTCCAGCCAGGCTCAGACCTCCACTATGTGATCTCCACACCCTGACCCTGCTTGTCTCTGTCACCATCGAGCCCTACTGGACACGGACTCACACTAATTTAAACTATAAAGCCCACTTTGGGACCTTGGGTTGCTGGCAGAACTCTGACCCTCACATCAACACCTGACTGTGAAAGTGGGCTCGCTGCTCCCTGCCACCTCCAGCCTCGGGGTGGGCTGCACTCCGGGCTTCCTGCTGGAGGGTGGTGGTGTTCCCAAGGGTCTGTCCATGGTTGGGTGGGCACTGGGGGCAAAGGTACTCACTGGCCCGTGTGATCACACAGTACTTGTCCGTCAGGGCACACTCCACCAGGGACTCACAGTTCTCGTGGCCACAGCATACGTGGCAGTGCAGGGCCAGGGCTGGGGGGAAGGAAGCACAGGCCCATCAGTGTGGGCTGAGGGCTGGGGACCCGGCCTGGGGCTAGCTCAGTGCCTGGCTGCCTGCTGAATGGCCACCACCCGTCTGGCCCTCTCTGAGCCTTCTCTTCCTCTCTCCTTTCCTCCCTCTAGAGGCACTCCTGGTCCCTTGGCATAGGGACATGGTTGTGGTGACTGGCTCTGAGTGTGTGAGTACCAATCCATCAGCAGGATTGAGGATGTAGGTAGGGTGTGGGTGTCTGCAGGCCACCCCAAGACTGAGGAGGACATGGGCAACATGGTGCAATACAAGGAGGGTAGGCTTCAGAGGCCATCTGGGTCCCTTTCTCACTGTCCCTGTCCATCTCTGAGCCTCGATGACCTCAACTATAAGATAGGACCATGTTGTGGCCAGAGGCTGTTCAGTCTTGCTGAAGGATGAAATGACACAGAGCCAGGGCTCTGTCCTGCCCCCTTCACTGGAACCCGGGCCCGGGACTGCTGCCTGGCCCAGAGAATGGCTGTGCATACAGTAAATACCCAGGGCTGTTTAGTTAACAGGAAGGAACGGCCCTGCCCTTCACTGCCTGGGGCCCTACCCATGACCCCCCACCCTGGGGGTTCTGCAGCAAAAGGCCTTGGTCCTGACCAGCCCCTGCATGCTGTATGGCCAACCCCAGGTCCCACTGACAGGGAGACCAGGACAAGGCTCCTGGGATGGAGGCTCCACAGGCCACCCAAGGGTGGCCAACTGAAGTACAGTATATAACCCTGAGTGGGATGGAGCAGAGGGTGCAATGACACTTTGTGGGACACCTGGCCGAGAGGCACGTGGTCTTGATAGAGGGCAAGAGCCATCTTGGAAGTCTTCCTGGAGTGGGAGGCCCTGGAGTGGACATGGACCGATAGATGGGTTTCTATTTGTTATTTGGGGAAAAGATGATCAGGCAGAAGGCAGAGCTTGGCAGAGGCCAGGCAAGCTGGGACCAGGCTATGAGGATCCTGGAGCTGGGATGGGGCAGGTGCACAGGTGGGAAAGCCTGGAGCACCTTGCTTGGGCATGGGGCCTGCACTGCAAGGAAGAGCACCTCTGTGCCAGGGCTTCGGGGGAGGGAGTTGGGTCCTGAGGGGTTTCTCGGGAAGGGTGGCCCATGTGGTGTCCTATAGACCAAGGTCACCTGACCTCGGGGCTAGCACCTATGAAATGGGGTAACAGCACCTTCCCCAGCTGGGCTGGCTGATGTCAGAGACCCTTTCCCTGTGTGGAGTGAGGGGCACTTGTGGCTGAACCCCAGGCAAGCAGAAGGTCAAGCTCAGCCCCGACCCCCAGCTCAGATGCCATGCTTTCTAGGCCAGGGTTCTGAAACCCACAAGAAGAATAGGCCTCTCTGTCCAGGGTGACTTGTCTGCAACTATATGCTAGGTGCTGCTGGGGGTAGGGAGACACTCTTATGTTCTTCTGAACAAGAAGCTGACAGTGCCTCAGTTTCCCCCACAGGGGTCCGAATAGTCCCTATGTCCTTGGGCTATGCTAAGAATTAATGGGTTAATCTCTTTAGGTCCCTGGAGCAATGGCCCTTCAAGCAGGTGCTGTCCCAGCATTAGGCTCCCAGGAAAGAGTCTTGTGCCCTTGTACAAAAGTCCCCTCCATCTGTCCTTCCAGCTTCCCCACGCTGCCATCTCCAGGTCTACCCCTCCACCCTCCACCCCTCAGGGCTTGCCCAGACAGCTAGAGGCTCACCCACTACCCCACTCTCAGGGAGGCTGATGGGGATAATTAACCCTGGATGGTAATTATTCAGCTGATAATCACAGGCTGTGTCACCCCCTCCCCAGGCTCCATTTCCGGTGGCCTTGCCAGGCCCAGGTGCTCTTGCTCCAGGTCACACAATCAGGTCATCAGGTAAGGGCAGAGCTGGGATTAGAGGAGGCTACCAATTCATTTTCCTGGTTTAGCACTGAGAGTCCCGCCTCCCAGGAATCCTTTTTGTCCAAGAAAAACAGGAAAATTGGGACACCTGCTGAAACCAGGTCCCACTGTTCAGCCCAGGGCCCTGCAGCCTCAGCCTCTCACCAGGTCTTTCACCCCCACAAGAGCTAGGTATACCAGAAACTAGGCCTGAAGAGACACGAGGGTCTGCAGGTCTGGTTGGTTAGGGAGAAGCCACAAGGCTTCCCCCTCACTCCCTGCAGCCCCCAATCCACAGACCCCTCAGACCAAAGCCAGCCCTGCCTGGCACCTGTCTGTCCCTGTCCCTGCCACCCAGGTCAGTGGTCCTTACCCAGGTCAGTGCACAGAGCAGCCAGAAGCAGAAACACCAGGAGTGACCTCATCGTGGGGCATCCACCGTAGGGACTGGGTGCAACAGTGCAGGTGCCTTTTATACACCGGCCAGGTAAGACCTAGTAATTTAGCTGGAGACGGATGAGCTTGGGGGGAGCAGGGCCAGCCTGACTCAAGTGCCTAGTCTTCCCTTTGCCCCACCCCTAGGAGCCCCAGGGTACTCTCAAAAAGTCACCTGTGTCCCCTCTCTGCCTGTCTCTCCATTCTGAGCCTTGGATTCCTTGATCCTGCAATTGCCATGAGGCCCCAGGTTAGGCTAGAAAGCAAGAAGCAGGCACAAGTATGGTGGCCTATGGGTGATAGCCCACTCTGGGGGTCTGAGGGACATGGCCTTGCCCTGGGGTCTGGTCTGGAGGACACAACCTTACCAGAGCTCTTTTAAGTGGGCCAGCCATCTCCTCTGGGCCAGTGCAGGCAGGGAGGTCTGGCTGGGGTTCCAGAAACAGAGGAGTGAGAGTCCACACCTCCTGGTGTCTCTACTCCATCCCCTTCAGCAACACGGGCCTCTCTTTTGGTGGCTGCAGTAGCCTCCCTGGTGACCATGGCCAATAGTCTCTTGAGAGCCCAGAGGCCACCATTCTGCATAGCTCTGTCTCCTCTGGCCTCCCATCTCTCCTCCCGCCTCCCCACCTCCCTCGGCCTCCAGGGTGGACCCTTGTGCCCTGGACATGCTTCCCTCCTTCCCCTTTTCTGCAGAACCATCTTTGTCTAGAACAATCTTAGACCCCCTGCCTGGAGCCTTCACTTTCCCCCAGGTCCCTGCTAGGCCCCTTCCCCATCCACCTGCGGAAGGTGGGCTGAGGCAATAGGTGCTTATTCCCAGGCCCTAGGGTGGCAAAGGATACTTGGTGGGGGTGGGAGGTGGGGCTGGAGCGCAGGCTGGGCCACAGGCATGCATGAGGGGCCCTTGCAGTGCAGGGCGGGTCACATCTCGGGCTGGGGATGGGCTCTCTCTGTGCAGCCACCTCCAGCACAAGTGGCAAGGAGCCAGGAATCAAAGTGGACACCAGAATGTCTAGTTTGTTTTGATAGTATATTTCTCAATATTTTATTTTAACGGTTTTTCAGCTTCTTTTAGAACTTACATATATTTGGCCACATGGTATGTGGGCCCCCATTGCTCTAGCCCCCAAAAGATAAGGAAGACATGACTCTTATTAAGAGCCCACTTCCAGGCACTATAGAGGACAATAAGAAGCCAGAGCCTGGGCACTTCCCCGGAATTAGTCTGTGCTGAGATGGGAGTTTCTGGCCAAGCAACCTGTGTTCGCTGCATTCCCTCTACTCCATCCACTCCATGCCCTCTACTCCATCCACTCCATCCATCCACTCCATCCACACCATCCACACCACCCATCCACTCCATCTACTCCATGCCCTCTACTCCATCTACTCCATCCACACCATCCATCCATCCACTCCATCATCCACTCCATTCGTCCACTCCATCCACTGCATCCACTCCATCCACACCATCCACAACATCCATCCATTCCATCCACACCATCTACTCCATCCACTCCATTCATCCACTCCATCTACTCCATCCACTCCATCCACATCATTCATCCACTCCATCCACTGCATCCACACCATCCATCCACTTCATCCACACCATTCATCCACTCCATCCACACCATCCATCCACTCCATCCACTCCATCCACACTATCCACACCCATCCATCCACTCCATCCACTGCATCCACACCATCCATCCACTCCATCCACTCCATGCCCTCTACTCCATCCACTCCATTCAACTCCATCCTCTCCATCCATCCCAGCCCTCCCACTCCATCTCCCCTCCAAGCTTGCTGACCTTCTGTGGCCATGGCCAGAAGTCTAGCCCTGCCTGGACCTATCCTGGGACAGGGCCTGGACCCTGAGGCCTATATGTCTTCTTGGACTCCACCTCAGTCCTCAGCCTAGATCTGAGAAAGTTCCTGGCACAGCTTCAAGGGACACATGTCTGGAACCCAGACTGGTGCCATAAGACTGGGGCCATATATGGAATGCTTGGCGTGGCTGGCCCTAGACCCAGCTCTGAGGCCAACAGGGAGAGACCAGGTGGGTGCCTGGGGCCAGGAACATTCACCAGCTTTCCTGGCTGGGCCCTCCCTGCCTGAGTTCCCAGGAAGAGGAGCCCCACCCTGCATATGCAAGCTGCTATTGCCATCTTGGGTGGGCCTGACTGTGACCAGCCCCACTCTCACTGAACCCACCCCAGCACTCAGGTGACTAGCCCAGGCTTCTGTCAGTGAATATATAGCAGAGAGACTGGGGATGGGGGAAGAGCCTGAGGCTCTGGGCTCCCTCTGCCCCAGGTCATGAACAAGCTATTTTTGTTCAGGCATTGCTGATCCTTACTCAGTGCCCAGCTCAGGCACTTGGTGCTGGAGCACAGGGATGAAAGGCTGAGTGTGGGGTGTGAGGGACCCACATTTACAGAGACTGGTCAGGTGCCGCCCTGTGCTCAGCCAGCACCTCTACCTGGAGAATGAACTGGCTGGGTTGCATTTTGAAGTGGGGGTGAGAAGGGGGAGATCCTTGAGGGCAGTGGAGGAGCCCATGGAAAGGAGTAGGGCAAGCCAAGCCAGGTGATGGGTTCCCCAAACTCTCCCACAGGGGAAGTTGGCTGGATTTTTCCCAGCAGGTGCAGCATTTCTCAAATTGGGGTCTATATTCTTAGGGGTCTGTGGGAGCTTTTTCCTTTAATAGGGCAACCTGAGAAATGCTGAACTTCATGAATCTCAAAGAGCCTTTGAGAGGCAAAGACTCTGCAGCCCCATGGGATAGAGGCCCTGGGAGGGTGGGGAAGCAGAGGAATGCTGCCCCAGTGCCAGTGCCCTTGCCCAGAGGCTGGGGGAGGGGTGGACCGCCCCCTTTAAGCTCATCAGTCATCTTCTACTCACTCTTTAACATGCTGGGTGCTCTCCAATTAAGGCCCAGACTCTGGCCCCAGGACACAATTAAGTTAACTGTGGTCCCCAGCCTAGCACTGGACTCTACTCCCCAGAGTGACTAAGAGGGAGACTGGGGCTCCCTGTCCCACAGGTATGCAGGGCAGGTGAGGGAACTGGGGCAGCGGTGAGGCAGGAGATTACACACTGGGTTTAGACCCTGCCAGCCCAGAGGAGCTCTATCACATCCTCCAATGAGAGATCTGGACCCTTGCTTAGAAACCCCAAGTCCTGCCCTGCCTCCCCTGCCCTGGCCCTCCTTCCCCCGTTCCCTCCCTGCTTCTTACCCGTCCTTCCTCCTGTGCTGGGGACAGGGGTGGGGGACCCAGAATTTGCACTCAGGCTCCTTGCTGTCAGGCAGGGGCTGGTAAAGGGGTGTTCCTACATACACCAAGAAAGACTCTGAGCCCTGACCCTGGTCACCTGTGGAACCCAAGCCTTGGCTATAGGAAAGCTGTTCTAGTCTTCAGACCTGTGACCAGAGTGTGGGGAAGCAAAGAAAGATCTGCTCGCTCAGGACACAGAGCACCTCAGACACAGATTGGCTGGTGGAACACGAGTAGCATGAGCAAAGTTCTGAGTTCTGGCCCCTGCCCCACCTGCTGCCTTCCATCCACCTGCAGCAGAGAGAGGACCAGCTCCCTGGTGCTCAGCCTTGAGTCGTGTGCACAGAGCACACAGGAGCTGCCTGCCTGGCTTCCCTCCTGGAACCTCCCTGCTCCTTCAGGAGGAAGGACTGGGAGGAGGGGAAGAGTGGGGATAATTTTCTCAGGGTCCTGGGGGAGGCTTACCAGTTATGGTCTGTCTGGGCAGCAAGGAGCCAGGATGCAGGGATGCCTGTGTTCCTGAGTGTGGGCAGCTGGTATTTTCCAGGACTGAGGAGGCAAACTGGATAAACCAGGGTGTCCCAGTGGCCAGCTGCCAGTAGGGTGAACCTGGGACAGTCCAGCCTGCCCCAACACAGTCAGTTTAATTTTGGGTTTATTGGAGAATAGCAGAGAATTTTAATTTGGGACAAGCATGCTATAGCAAAAACTAGAGTCCAGCAAACAAAGGGGAAGAACTTTGAAGAGAAAAAGGAGGAAGCTGGGAGGGTAGCTTTGAAGGAAAGTCCATTGGAGGAAACAGATAGTTTAGGTGGAGGCTGTTTCCCACTGGCTGGGGGGCTGGGCAGCTGGGCAGGATGGAAATCCCCCTGCCTCTTGCTGGAGCAGTGAAGTAGGGGGACTTGCAAGGTGTTTCTGCCCCTGGGGGGGGGGTCTGTAGCTGACCACAGTGGTTGTGTGTGAGGGCTCCTCCGCATTAGGGCCTCTGAATCCATTTTAAATGCAGTTTCCTTTATTTTCACACCTGATTTTATAAGCCCTACCAGACCTTTTGTATCTACTGTTTCCAATAGTAATAAACTCAGCTCCACCCACCCTCACAAGCTGCCTCGGGTCCCTGCCCCGCTCCATATACCCCCCCCCCCCA